TATAACACTTTATTAAAATGACAGTTTTAAAATATTCTTTAAAAAAATTTTACAATATTAATTGATACCCATATATATATATATATATATGTATATCTTTTTATCGTTTTTAAAAAATTAAAAAAACAACAATTTATTTTTTGGATAAATTATGAGTAAAAAGCAAAATTATTTTAGAATGGAGGTAGATGTTAACTTGGTAGAGTAGACCCTTTTTTTTTTAAACTGCACGTGCATATATGTCATTAGATTACTACAACCACTTTTAAATTATATATATAAATTAGTACCAACTTGCACTAATTTTGACATAAAATCTTGATTATTTATCTTTTTATTATGAATTATTGAAATTTATATTTTTTTTATCTTATTATTTTGAAAATAGTTGTCTTTTCATCTAAAAAGGCCAAATTTCTATTTGTACTCTACATATTATTTTTTTCATAGTCAACACCTTTCACAATTTTTATTCCTAATCAACACCCTTCATTATTTAGAATCCATAAAAAATTTTAAATTACCAATATAGTCAGGGTGCAAATAGGGGGTTTGATAATTAATTTTTGAGTTTTTTTATAGATTTTAAATTATAGAGAGTGCTGATCAGGAATAAAAATTTTTGAGTTTATTGGTCACTATCTAAAAAGAAGTTTTGAAGAGTCTAAGCCACTCGTCGTGGAGAATGAATGACTATGATTACGGATAAAAATTATGTGTATGATGATCACATATATAAATAAATAATGAAAAGTGTTTTGTAGTTTTATCATATTTTAATTAATATTTTAAAAAATCAATTATTAGATTGAATTTTTTTTTTTCATTTAGATCATGTATTTTGATTTTCAAATGAATCTAATGAGCCTAATGAATTAATTGATTATACAATATTTAATACTGTTAAATATATAAAAATATATACTCTTTTGATAAAGAGTTATAAATGTTAGATTTATTTGAAAAGTGAAATGTATTATTTTCATGAATAAAATATTTAATTTAACTTATAGTTTTTTAAAATATTAATTATAAAGTAATTACCTAATTAGGTAGTCCTTTTTTTTTTTTTTGAAAGAATAACTTGTAGTACGGTAACAAAGATAAATATATATATATATATGTGGTGAGATATTTATTTATACATAAATTTTGCATATTATATTTATACAAAATTTTAGTTATTTGTTTTTTTTTTTCACATTTAATGATTGAGATTTATTATGACTTTTTAGATAAAAAATAATTAATTTTAACAAATATGAATAAATTTCAACAATTAAAAATAGAAAGATGAATGGTTGAAATTTTGTATAAATATAATGTGTAAAACTTATATATAAATGAATCCGTACTATATATATAGGAAAAGTGAGCATAAGCCCATATTATAAAAAATTAGGTGAAAAAAAATCTTTTAATTACATTATTTTAATAAAATTTCATTAAAAAAACAAAAATATCTAAATTTTTAAAATAAAAATGAATCTATTTTAATATTTTCTTATAACACTTTATTAAAATGACAGTTTTAAAATATTCTTTAAAAAAATTTTACAATATTAATTGATACCCATATATATATATATATATATATATACAAGATCTTCCAATTTTCAAAACATCCTAACATGTTAGGACTTCTTGATTTTTCATTTTACCACACACACACACATATATATATATATATATAACACACTTATTCATCTTATACTCTTACTATTTCAACCCTAATGGCATCCAAGGGATAGGTGTCTCTCCTCATGTCTGTTCCGATAATTATGCAATAGTGCGACATAGATGTCATCTTTTTGGGCTATAAATAGTGCCACACATCCTTTTTTCGGTACATTCACTACCCTTGTCCTTTTTTTTTCTTTTTTTTTTTTTCTGGACAACTGAAAATAATATTATTAAATTAAATATAAGAGCATCTGCACCGAAATTCATTCTTGAATTTTCAAGTTAAGCCACTTCGGTCTAGGGACTTCGACAAGCTAGACTGCAAAGCTCATTTGTGCATTTACACTTACTCTTGGAAGAGATATCTCCTTAGCTTGGCAGATCAACACACTCTCGTTCAAGTTAGGACATCTACAAATTTTGATTTACACTATAGAGACCATACAACTACTATTGTTGCAAAGAACTCCGAAGTACTCCTAAGGTCGGACCTTCACTTCAAGTATCCTGTAAAGCCCTGAGGTTGGTCCTCGGGGTAGACACTCCGATGCCTATGTTAGCAATAATCAAAGCTACCAGATCTGGAGCAAGAACCAAGCTTGAGGTCGGTTTCTGTTACCTTTGGAGGAAGACCCTCAATGGGTATTTATAGCCTTTAAGAAGGTGTCCACGTGTTGTTCTTCTTGAGCAATTAGGATTATATGTGTTAATGATCGCAGGAAACTCTCTTGAAAGATCTGTACATGTGCGGAGTCACTATAGAATAAGAGCAAAAGGGGACGAGCTCGAACTCGGCTGAGCTCATCATTCTTCAAACAACGTCGAGGTGACTAGATTGTTGGGAATAGCTAGGACTGTCCAAGGTACTTGACCTTAGACTACCACCACTACATTATTCCCCCCTCTGAAGTCATTCACTTGTGAATGATACAAGAGTTTGTATTGGGATGGAAAAGAATGGCTCAAGTCGAGGGGAAGATATCATGGCGCGAGATCAAGTGATGAACATGCAAAGTTGAAATGTAAACATGACATGGGGTTGTGTAACATACGGTTGGAACCGAAGTGAAAGCATCATGACACCTGGTCATGTAACGTACGGCTGGAGTCGAAGTGAAGATATCACGACACGTGGTCATGTAATGTACGGTCTGAGTCGAAGTGAAGATATCATGACACGCAATAATGTAATGTACGGCTGGAGTTGAAGTGAAGCTATCATGACACATGGTCATGTAACGTACGTCCAGAGCCGAAGTGAAGGTTTGATGACCAATTGTGAATTAATTCAGAAAGTAATTAATATGGTTACACTGAATTTGGACAGGCTTTTGTAATGAAACCAGAAGGAAAAAATAAAATAAATTAAACCAACTGACAGCTATCCTCATGTGACACACTGTAATAAATGGTGCAGTCAGGAATAACTGCCGAATTCGAAAAGGCATGATCATGATCGTTAGATCCGAACAATCGTGACTGTCTAAGAGGGATGAGTTGTTAATATAAATAGCCAGAGTTGAGTTATTCAGAATTTACCTTACTGATTTTGTAGCAGAGCGTTGTCGAAGTGAAACAAGAGCACCTCGTCATCCAAGCTTGTGGTTGTTGAGTTTAGAGGTCCAGTTGGAAGGATGTGTTTTGTCCAAAAAATCTTCAAGTGTTTTAGTTCGGCCACCACAAGTTCAGGTAATCTCATGAGCTCGACTTTTGATTTCAATATCTAACTTAACTCAAGACCTAGGACTAAGTCCAATTAGGGAAATTAGGAAGAGGTCTGAGAGCGAAGTAGAGCGTCAGAGAGAGTTAAATGAAGATCCTAACTATTCTCCCCATCTTACCCCTTGTAGTGAGAACTTATAGAGTAAGATGTCGTTTGAGGATACATTAAGTGTTGGTAGGGATGAAGCGGTAGAGTTGAGCTCGAGCGAGAGTAGTAGTGGAGAGACTAGTAGTGGGGCAAGTGAGAGGGTTGGAGGTGAAATAGAAGAGGTTGGAGTTCCTTCTAATATTTTGGAAGTGGATAATGGTAGGGCCAAGTATTACAATGAGGAGGAAGAGGTGGTTTCAGAGGTGGTGGGGTATGAGACTTCATGGAAAAGTAGAGGTGAGCTCGCACATTTAGTGGAGCAGTATTCCATCCCAGGGCACATCTTATTTAGGCTAGTTGGGGAGATGGAATGAGTGTGCTCAGCTCCAAGAGACCACTGGATGCCAATATATGGGCATTACTTGACAGCTGGGCTTAGGTTTCTAGTGCCCAAACTGTTAGTAGCGTTATTGGTGGAGTACAGGTTAGGAATAATGCAGTTCGTCCCAAATGTTGTTTAGTTAATTCTAAGGTTCCTAGTTTATTGTCGAATACAAGGTGTTGTGCCCATAGTTGACATGTTCAAATATTTTTGTCTTAATAAAGGGAGGCAGTAATACGGAGAAGGGGTGGTTCTATTTTATACCCTAGGTAACTAGAAGGGTAGGGAGGAACTTGTTTAACGTAGGTCCTTCTTCTATAAAGGGGTGAAATGATAAGTTTCTTTTTGTGGACGATACGGAGTGGGGGAGGTCAGATGTAGAGGTGGTTGAGCTTTGTGGGTGGAAGAAGAAGAAGGCTAACCCCCAACAAATATTCGCTAAGTACGGAGGAGTAGGATGAGGTGGAGAGGTTAGAGAGAAGGGGTGGGGAGGTGATGGATATCATGTATCTCACCGGCTTGGCGATTAGAGACGGCAGAGATCTATGGGCCAAATTCTATGAGTAGAGGTTGGTTTATTCATAATTAAGCATATCTGATGTGCAAACTAAACATTCCACTAATTCTATTTTATTTTGCAGAGGAAATGAAGCAATTGTTGACTAGAGGCAAGACCATTGCCCTCCCAAAGAAGAGGTCAAAGGCTTCAGTTGCCTTTACTGTGGAGGAGAGGACAGTGGGTAGGACTTTGAGATCTCGCCCAAGCGGAGGAGCCCGAGCTAAAACAAGGTCTAGCTTGGAACAGAGGAGGAGGCTGGCACTTAGAAAAGGAGAAGGGTGGAGGTGCAACAGCCTCAGCCCGAGGCCTTGATTGAGTTCATGCCTCAGCCTCTACCGGTTTAGATTGAACCATCTCTGTAGAAGGTGGGTGTGGTGACCCATGGGAAAGGGAAGGGCGACCCCTTCCCAAAGTAGAAAGTTCAGCTTTTTGGAGAACACCAGCAGGACAACTATAAAGCGGTTCATCAAGTCCACTTTTCCAAATGTGGACCTGCAAAGGGCGAGGGACGAGGTGAACAATAATGGAGGACCTGGCATTGTTCGCTAGGCCCTTGAGGTAAATACCAAAACTAACTTCACTTCTTCCTTCTTTTTTTTTTTTTTTTGACCTCGGCTCTTCTTGCAGATGACGAACCTCATCAACGCTTTGGCAATTGATTATTTCAACTACCTTAAGGAGAGGAACGAATTGGCTGACAAGAATGATGAGCTCAACCAGAAGAAGTAGTCAGCCGAGTAAAACTTCAATGACCTAACCTCGGAGCTAGAGAAGGTTAGGGAGGAGTTGGTTTCTGCTAAAGCTATTGTTGAGACCGAGGTGGAGAAGAGGAAGAAGTCCAAGGATGAGTTGGCCAAGGCAAGAGATAGGCTGGTCGAAGTTCGAAGGAAATCTGAGCTGGAGGTGCACAACTTAGTTGAGTAGTATGTCTCCAACTTTGTCAACTCAGCAACTTTGTCTAAGATCGTGGACCTCTTCCACCTGCCCATGCTAGTTATGGCCTTCAATGATTGTAGAAAAAAGGCGAAAGCTCAGAACCCTGAGGTGGATGTGACAAAGATCACATTCGATCCTCAAGAAGGTGGAGTGGAGGAAGACGGGGAGTGTAAATAGCCAAGTTCTGCCTAAATATGACTCTGAATTGGGAGCGGGATGAGGTTGGCTGAACTGTGCTCCTTTCATGTCTAGAGTATGAGTTCATTGCTGTTGACGGGGATGAAGCTGAAGTTCTTGGGAATACCGAGTTGGGGACAATGCGGCTAAGTAAGAGGTGGACCAACAACACTTAGTGATTGACTAAACTCGGCCAGCTCATTTCGCCTCTTTTTTTTTTTTGAAATTGTACATTTTAGAACAATATATTTTATTTTTAAATAAAATGAATCAGAGATTAGAAAAATTAATGTTATTTACGATGTCGGTATGAATGCATGGCTTTTGGCCTCTAAACATAATTTGAAATAGAACTTAGAAAGATATCAAAACTGAAACATAATATCTGACATCGACTCTTGAGGTAAAATAGCAGAAGTAAAAGTATGGTAGTCATGCTCATATTAAACCCAAGGCTAAAGTGAGTTTTTAACTTCGACCTCAGAAACTAAAGTATATAATGATAAGATCAAGTTTTATTAAGAATAAAAATTTCTCAAATTATTTACATTCCATACTCTATGAACTTTTTTTCCCTCAACATCTATAAGTACGTAAGCGTCGGGGTGAGATATTTTAGCTATTACATATGAACCTTCCCAGTTTAGTGCTAACTTGAGGACGAGGTCAGTGAGCCCTGCCTTCTTGAGGACGAGGTCACCAATCCTAGAACTTTGAGGTCGAACTTATTTATTATAAAGGTTGGCAACCTTTTGCTTATATAACATTGTCCAAAGTCGAGCTTGCTCGTGGACTTTGTCTAAGAAATCAAGGTTTTCCTGGAGTAGCAGGTCATTTCATGCTGGGTCGAAATGACTAACTCTCAAACTTGGGACATTGATTTCAACAAGGATAACTGCCTCAGTTTCGAAGGCTAAGTGATAGGGCGTTTCGTCTAATTGAAAGAAATTGTTGTTCAAGGGTTTACTTAACATAATTATTTATGATTTAGGATGAAGAAATTGGCACTAGTGGCATACTTGTGGCCGTTCGACACGTAGTTCAGTAAGCCCACAAAACGTTGTTGAGCTCATCCATCCACTTGGCTTTGAGTTGGTCCAACCTCGGCTTGATCCTTACCAAGATAGCTTTGTTGACAAACTCAACCATGTCGTTTGCCTCGGGATGGTAAACCAAAGTGAACTAATCCCATAACTAGAGCAAAAATCCTTAAAAGAGGCGCAATTAAATTGAGACCCGTTGTCAACAACGATTTGACTCCATATCCCGTACCTACAGATGATTGAGCTAAAAATAAAATCTTCAATCTTTTTCAAGGTTAGATTGGAAAGAGGTCGAGCTTCCACCCACTTCGTAAAGTAATCAACCACCACAACCAAGTGTGTTACTCCCTCCACGCCTTTGACAAAAGGACCCATAAGGTCTATTCCCTATTGGGCAAAAGGCCACAATGCAACCAAGTTAGTGAGTTCTTCAACTGGTTGGTGAGTGAGGTGTGCAAAGAATTAGCATATTTGGCACTTCTGAACATACTTTTTGGCATCTTCTTGCATATTGGGCTAATAATATCCCTGTCGAAGTACCTTGTAGGTCAGAGTCCGAACTTCGATATGACTCCCACAAACACTTTCATGCACCTCGCGAAGGCATACTCGGCCTCGTAAAGGTTTAAACAACAAAGGAGGGGAAGTGAGTATGACCTCTTATACATGACACCATCAACCAAGGTGTACAGAGATGCCTTTCTCCGCAACTTCATTTCCTCTAACTTGTCACTTGGGATAGTTCCATCTTTGAGGTAGGCTTTAATGGGATTTGTCTAGCTGGGGGTTTGAGGATTAGCACTGACCTCCATCACCTTTGACTTTTCAAAGCTTGGTTCATCAAGGACCTCGACATAGATGAACCTCATTCCACCAGAGCTATCACAAGCTAACTTCCATAGGGAATCTACATGCTCATTCTCTGTTCTTGGGATTTTTGTGAGCTTGAATCTCTCAAATCAGCATTTCAACTCGAAAAGCACCGCCAAGTATTTGGCTAGGGTGGGATCTATGACCTCACATGTATAATTCACCTGGTTGACCACAAGCTGTGAGTCATTGTAAACCTACAAAGATCTAAGCATCAACTCGACTACTAGATGAAGTCCCAAGAGCAATGCCTCATACTCAACCATGTTATTTAGTTGCTTCAAAATTAAACCGCAGGGCATGCACGCTTCGAAAATTATCGAACCCAACCAACACCACTCCAACACCTGACCCCTTATTGCTGGATGAACCATCGACATAGAGGGTTCGCGACTCTGCTTCGGAGTTGGCGCTTCTTAAGTAGAAGTGCATTCTACCACAAAGTCTGCCAAAGCTTGACCTCGGACTACTGACCTCTGCTGAAATGTGAACTGAATTCTCCTAGCTCTACTACCCACTTAATGAGTCTACCTAAGCACTCTAGCTTTTATGAATTAAACCATAAGGCATGCATGCCCAACACCACTCCAACACTTGACCCCTTGTTGCTAGATGAACCATCAACATAGAGGATCCACGACTCTGCTTCGGAGTTGGCGTTTCCTGAGTAGAAGTGCATTCTACCACAAAGTCCGCCAAAGCTTGAGCTCGGACTACTAACCTCTGCTGAAATGTGAAATGAATTCTCCTAGCGCCACTACCCACTTAATGAGTCTGCCTGAGCACTCTAGCTTTTACAAAATTTGCCTCAAGGGTTGATCGGTTAGTAAAATAATGGGATGGGCTTGGAAATACGGCCTCAGCTTCCTTTCCATGGTGACAACTGCTAAAGTTGCCTTTTCTGCTATGGAGTATCTTAGCTCGATTCCTTGTAGCACCTTGTTGACATAGTACACTGGCCTCTGTTGCTTCCCCATTTCTCTAACTAAAATCGAGCTTATTGTTGTGTCGGATATCTCGAGGTAGAGGTAAAGAATCTCACCCTCTTCAACCTTAGTTAGCAAAGGTGGTGAACTGAGGTATACCTTGAGTTCGTCGAAGGAAGCTTGACACTCTGAGGTCCATTCAAACTTCTTAGGCTTCCCTGCTTCATCTTTCTATGCCACAGACCTCAGGATTTTGAAAAAAGGCAGGCATTTATCTGCCGACTTCTAGATAAACCTGTGCAGAGCTACTACTCTCCCAGTTAGGCGCTGCACATCTTTGACTGACTTCTGTGGTTTCATTTCCTCTATTAACTTTATCTTCTCGAGATTGACCTTTATCCCCTTCTAGAAACCATGAATCCTAAGAATTTACCAGATTCAACACCAAAGACACACTTGGCCAAGTTTAACCTCATGTTGTATTTCCTCAAGTTGTCAAATGTGTCTACCAGTTCAGTCAGGTGATTCTCTGCCTTGAGGCTATTGACTATTATGTTGTCGATGTAAACTTCTAGGTTCATGTCGATTTGAGTTCAAAATACAATTGTCACCGTTTTCTAATTTGTAGCCCTTGTGTTTTTGACTCTAAACGGCATCATTATATAGTAGTAGATCTCGTCACCTACATAAAAGGAGGTCTTCACCTCGTCCTTAGGTGCCATGTGTACCTGGTGATAAACTGAGTAAGCATCTAAGAGACTGAGCCTTTCATTTCCGAATTTAGCTTCAACTAGCTGATCTATACTCGGCAAAGGATGGCAGTCTTTTGGGCAAGCATCATTAAGATTAGTGTAATCAATGCACATTCTTCATTTGCCATTGGACTTCTTGATTAAGACAAAATTAGCAACTCATTTGCAAGAGTCCACTATTCTTACAAACCCTACCTGCAAGAGCTTCTACACCTCTTCCCTGATTGCTTGCAGCCTCTCCCCCCCCCCCTTCCCCCAAACAAGCATTTTTTCTAAGCTAAGGCTTCTTAAGAGGATTAGTGCTTAGTCTGTGCACCGAGACCAAGGTGGATATTTTGGGCATATCAGTGGAAGTCCAAGCAAATACATCTTTATTTGCCCTTAAGAAACTTATGAGCTCTTCCCTTTCTTTTGGGCTCAATTTGTTCCAATTTGTGTCTTCTTGGTGGGATCACTATCATTAATCTGCACCTCTTCCACTGGGGCAGCCCTAGTCTCATCTTTTGGTCAGTTGTCTGGCAACTCTACGCCCATTACTTGGTGATTAGTTGGAGCCATTGGCTGAGGTGGCTTTGATAGTTGAGGTGGCTCTGATAGTAGAGTGGCTCTTTTTCTTTTCGAGGTCGGGTGATAGAGGTTATATAACAATGTCTTGCTGTTTCTTGGTTACCTTTGAGAGTGGCCACTCCCATGGGTGTAGGGAATTTTATGCATAAGTGAGATTGGGAAACAATAGCTTTGATCTTGGTTAAAGTAGGCCTCCCAATGACGATATTGAAAGACAAGGTCATCTTTACAACCAGAAACTGAACTGAGGGAATCATATATGTCCGACCTGAATCAAAGGCCACATTGAGTCTAAGGACTCCTTCCACAGGGACTGGTTGATTATTAAATCCATAGATAGGACCATCATACTTCTGTAGGAGAGTAGTGTCAAGGTCAAGGCTAAGGCTCTCAAAGTAGTGATAATACATGACATTAGGAGCACTTCCTACATCAACAAGGACACGCTGAACTTCGCAATTGTTGACAATGATTGAGGTGACTAGCGAGTCGTTGTGTGGCGTGACAACACCATCAAGATTAGCTGAACTAAAGGTTATAGGTTGGCTCTTCCAATCCGCCTCATCAAATTTCCTCTTGTGAGCTCAATTTTGGTGTTTCACCTTTCTCAAATATAGCTTTTATTGTTTGGAGCTCGTTCGTTCGACTTCCAACCAGTTAGTTATCATGTGAATGATGCGTGATGATGGAAGAAGAAGAGGTGGTGCTTGTTGGTAGTTGACCCTAGGTTTATTGTTTGCCACTCGAGGTCGTTGATATTGTTATCCTTGATCCCATACAAATTTAAGTTGATCCTTGTTCGAGATGTACTCATTCAGCATACCTTTATGAGCCAAGCCTTCAAGCTCAGACTTCAAACTGTTACATTCTTTTGTGGTGTGCCCGTGGTCCTAGTGGAAGTCATAATACTTATTGTGATCTCTGGAAGTAGGTAAACTTCATATAGGTGAGGGCCTTTTGAGTTCCATTTTGTTCTTGATCTACATCAAAATTTGTGACCTCGGTAATGTGAATGGGGTCCAAGCAATTTGTTTTGTGGTGCATTACGAGGTGTTCAGGTTGGGTTTGTCAATTTTAACAGGGAGTGGACCTCGGTTCTACACAGGTTTGAATCTCTTCTTATTCTACCTTTCTTCTCTCTAGGTCAGAGCTCTGACCTCCTTACCAGGTATGGGCTAGCCAGACAAGGCATACTCTTCGGCCTGAATAAACTTAACAGATCTATCATTAGCTTCATCAAATGTAGTATGAGGGTGCTTTATGAGGTTGTTGCGAAACCTCTCATGCTTGAAACCCTAAATTATGGCAGCTAACCCCACGGCTTGATTGAATGAGCTGATTTCCGGCACAGCATCGTTGAATCTGTTGATGTAGCTCTTCAAAGATTCACCTTCCCTCTAGACTACCTGCATGAGCTTGGAGGTTGTCTTTCTTATCAGTCGTTGACTTGAGAACTTAGTTGCAAAAGATGTTGCCAGCTCGACGTACGAACTGATTAAGTTCGGCTGCAGACTATAGGATTAAGTTTGGGCATTACCACGCAATGTAGATGGGAATATTTTTCACATCAAGGCATCTGAGGTATTCTGAGCTTGCATAATAAAGTAGAATGCGTGCAAGTGATCATCAGGGTCTTTAGTGCCATCATATGTCTTGAACTAGGGCATTTTAAATTCGGACGGGTATGTTTCTTGTATGATATTGGTGTTAAAGGGGGTAGGGATGGTAGAACTGGGCTGAGCCGGAGGTTTGGCATTTTGGTTCTGGGCCATCATTCTTTCCAGGTTGTCTAACCTCTTGGAAATGTCTGAGATAACTGGTTGAGGTGGGTTTTAAGGTGGAGGTGCCATGTGGGAGTAGCCTTGGGACTCGCTTTAAGGTGGGACGACAATTCAGACTAGTGAATTGACATTTTGCTGAGGCTGGGTTTAATAGAGTAATGAAGGGATCGATTGGGTTGTCTCTAGCTAATAACTGTGCAAGCATGAGTTGAAACACGTTGAACTATTGTTGCATAGTGTTGAGCTGGGCAGCTATAGCACATTTGGGACCTTTGTTAGGTGTGGTGGGTTATTCTCCCCAGTCCCTTCCACATGCTGATGTTGGGCTATGGGAGGTGACTTGGGAATTGACCTTTTCCCTGGCCCTGTTGAGGGCTTCCGTGTTGCGTTGAACATGTGTTAACCATTATAACAGCCACTGACAAGGCTCTTAGCTCGTTTCCCATAGACGACGCCAAATGTTATTGCGAAGAACTCCAAAGTGCTCCCAAGCTCGGACGTTCACTTTAAGTATCCTGCAAAACCTCGAGGTTGGTCTTCGAGGTAGACACTCCGATGCCTAAGTTAACAATAAGCAGAGTTACTAGATATGGAGCAAGAACCAAGCTTGAGGTCAGTTTCTGTTACCTTCGGAGGAAGACCCTTGGGGGATCTTTACCGCCTTCAAGGGGGTGTTCACTTCTTTTTTTTTATTAGAAAAATTAAGGGGGCATCCATGTGTTGTTCTTCTCGAGCAATCGGGATTATATGTGTCAATGATCGTAGGAAACTCTCCTGAACGATCTGTGCATATACAGAGTCATTGTAGAATAAGAACAAAGAGGACGAGCTCAAACTCAGCTGAGCTCGTCGTTCTTCAAACAACATCGAGGTGACTAGATTGCTGGGAATAGCTCAGACTGTCTGAGGTACTTGACATTGGACTACCACCACTACAACTACTATCTTTACAAATCCTATCTAGTCTCATTTGCCATTCTATTGGATGATGTTATGGGAGTCTCTTTTTTTTTTTTTTTTAGTAGATCTGATTGTAAGTTATATAAGAAGAAATAATCATTCTCTATTTTTAAATTCTTTTCCATCTAATTCAAAATTTGAACTTGAGATTTCAAACTTGGAGTCTTAAGTTTTTCATCATTGAATCACCCTATTGAAATTCTTATTATTTTAAGGCTTTCTCTCCAGTTTCTAATATACCAAAAGGGAAAAGGAAAAGAAAGTAAAGAGCGTACACTACAAGAAAACCTAGCTTCACCGACCAAATATCACCGAGGTAGGAAGGTTGCTCGGTTAAGCATCCATTTACTGACAAGAATCAAGTCTGCAACTTGAGAAACAGTAGAAATGCGAGTAAGATATATTATTTAGCATACAAACGTAATACTTGTCGGTAATTTAAGCTTGTACATAGGTGTTACTCGTCAGTAAATGCAGCATCCACTCCAGCCGGTGGAGGAAAGACGGAAAACCATATCACCGACGAGAAGCACGCCTGTAAATTGAAATTTGGAACGATAGTCTTGTCGGTAATTGAGGATCAATTTCCAACGTCCATCTCCTCGGTAATTGCCACTCCCAATGCACCCCCGCCAACCAGCTGGCTGCCTACGTCAGGGGGCGCAGATTTTGGCTGAAATTTGCTGACATAATCCTTGTTGGTAATTTGCCATTCAGCAACTCCCCGCGAATTTGGCTGTTGGCCACTAGTGTAGCAGCTTTTATTTTCTTTACTAATGAGATCCAAGTCGGTAATAGCTGTAGTGCCAACTTGATGCTGGTCGGTGATTGGCCCAGTCAACGAGAATCCTAATACAATGCAGAGGTGATCAGCTTTAAATTGTAGCAACGTGGGTTTCATCGGTAAGTTTGCCTATTGCTTGCCGACGCGCGCTTCTGCCTTCATTTTGGTCTTTCTCCTTTCATTTTCATTTCCCTCTTGTCCCGCGAGTTCTCCTTGCTCCCTATCCTCCATTCTTCCCTTTGAAGCACTTTAACACATTTTTCTTCTTGCAATCTAGTGGATCAAGCAGTGGTAAGTAAAATTTAAGTAGTATTATTATTTTTTATA